CCAAAGAGACGTTTTAAAGAAAGTTGTGATCAATAATGGCAGTCTCTCAAACACCTGACACAACAAAAGGAAATTGTAAAATGAATAGCAATGAAATTACAGTTAAAGTAATGGTATAATTTAACAACAATATATGGCTTTTGGCTCCAGGTTATATTATTCTAAAAATCCAAAGGTATTTCCTATATTAAAAAGCAGCAATTACAGAATTTCTTTTCACTTAAAATACAGTTATTTTAAAGAGAAATGAAAAGAGAATGACTTTCTCAGTGTGACTAAAAAGATACAGAATAATTCAGTTCTCCATATAATATCAACTCAAATTTGTTTGCAGCAGATGATATTTATTGGCACTCTTTGAGACATTCCCTCCCCCTTCCCCTCTTTCATGGTCTGGCATTTTTCCTCACCACTCAAGGGTTTCATTCCTCCAAACTTCATTCTACTTTTAGGTGCCCAAGGCTGATGGTTCTCCCTGTTGCCTAAAGCCACTGCCTTCCAGCTACACAGAGAAGGAAAAGCAAGTTAAACCTTCGATGAAGAAATTTCATTCTGCAGGATGGCGAGACACCAACTGTTCTCTCGTATTCCACAAAAGTAATCTACCCACCTTTTTTGAACGTGCTCTTATAAATTCTCGTAAGAAAAATCATTTTCATACAATCTTAGGATATCCATTTCATTATGACCTTGCCATCCTAAATAGTAACCTAATCCTACACAGCTCCGAAGAAGGAAGCCTAATAACTAAATGTGGGAATGAATTAGTTAATGTAGGATATGTAAAATGGAAGCCTAACTTCAATGAGTGCACAGATGCACTCCAGTACATTACAACAACCCCACTGTACACCCATAAGGGCAAATTTAACAAAATCCCTAGTGACAATCCATGAAGTAGTTCAGTCCTTCAAGAAGAAACACGACTGCACAATTCTTTACCAAAAACGAACAAATGGTTGATCACTTGCAAGACAAAAATATCATTAAAGAAAGCTAAGTGCCTACTTGAAAGCTAAATTTTCAACCAAATGTTACTATAAAAACTTATTTTTCATTTAATACCATTATGTATAGGCTCAGAAAAAGAGGGGGCTTATTGCCACACAAAGTGGCACGTGTGTGTGCATAAACTGCAGTATGAATACAATGCTATCATTAACCAACAAGCATGTTGAAGCCCACTCTTCTATCCGGGAAAATCCCATGGACGGAGGAGCCTGGTGGGCTGCAGTCCATGGGGTCTGAGAGTCGGACTCGACTGAGCGACTTCACTTTCACTTTTCACTTCCATGCACTGGAGAAGGAAATGGCAACCCACTCCAGTGTTCTTGCCTTGAGAATCCCAGGGACGGGGAAGCCTGGTGGGCTGCCATCTCTGGGGTTGCACAGAGTCGACTGAAGCGACTTAGCAGCAGCAGCAGCTCCTATCCCCAAAATAGTGATGGATCTTCCTAGGTTAGCCCACAGTGTCTCTCTGAGTCTTCCTAGTGAACATGTTGGATTTGTGAGATAATTTGCCCCTTGAGTCTGGAGTAAACACAAATTTGGATCATGTGGGCACCAATCTATGACCTCCACTTCATTTGATTATACTTCCATCCACTGAGCCCACTGTTCTCATTCATTATGAACCAAGATTTTAAATTTAGTGATTACAAAGCGAGTCTCAAATCCTGGTGAAAGATGTAGATTTAAACCTAATAAGGTCATCATTGTATATTATGAGTCACTTGCACTAAAGTTATAAAGTCATTGGATTATGCACTCCAATGTGTCTTTAAAATACATTTTAATCCAGTTGTGGTTACTGCCTTTTTAGGGTGTGTTATAATATACTTCCCTTTGAATACCTAAAGCCTACACTGCTGAGAGATGGGAATGCATCTCAAGATATTTTAATTTTACCTCTTCAGAATCATAGTTCTGCATTGTAAACTTACCAGATGCTCAACAAAGAAAGAAGTGGAATCCTAAAATGCTTAAGTTTACAGGGTTACTGAACTCTATGGTGAAATAAGTCTTATCTTTGTTCATAACTATCTAGGAACTCCCTACTTCCCCACTGCAGGTATGACTCTGGAAGCAGGGTCAGCAAGAAAGACATGGTGTCTGTTCATTTGGAGTATCCAATACATAAAACCACAAAATATACAGATCTACAAAATACCAGCATGCTGTAATAATCACTTTGGAGGAAACAAACAAGGTACCAAGACAGAAACAAATATGTAATGTCTACTTTTGACAAGGAGATCAAGGATGATCTCTATGAAGGAGAGACCTTTGAGCTGAGGTTGTAAGTCTGCAAACAAGCTAGACATTTAAATAGAGGAAGGAACAGTCCAGGCACTGGGAACATTTGAAAAGACCTTAGGGAGTGAAACTGCTTCTTGTGTTTCAGGTACTAAAAGACCAGGGTGGCTGGAGCACATAAATGAATGGGAGATGCGCTCAGAGAGGTTGTAGCGGAGGGCCAGATTAGACAGTGAGCTGGATGCTAACAGAAGGAATGTATTGATAATCCACTGTTGTGTTTCTGCATTTATTCCTTTTTTCTTTGTAGTTATGATCCACTGAATGTTCTTAAGGGGCGACACAATGGTGTTGCTTCCTTGGAGAGGTAATTACAAGGGAGCAAACTATGGAAGTAGAGAGGTTGCATCAAGGCTGTAGCATGAATCCATGAAAGTTATAATCATGCCACAAATCTGGTGGCAGGGTAGATAAAGAAAGCAGGGTGGAAGAGGTACAACTGAGAAGTATAATTGGATAGAGATGCATTAGATCAAAATATGGATGATTAGGGATGAAATGCTATGAGGAGGAAGAGAAGGGAGTAAATACTTGGTGAATGGTGGAACCATTAATTCAGATGACAAAGACTAGGGAAAAGGATCTGAGACAGAGTTTTAGGGAAAATCATACATTGTTACCATTATGACATTCAGAATGACCCATTCATAGCTCTAAACTTTAAGTTCCCTTACAAGGTTAGAAAAAACAGCATATCATTCTTCCCAGTACTTCACACTCTTTCACATATCTAATAAGCACAGATATTAGATAAATATTTTTATTATTCATGAAAAACACAACATTCTACTTTTTCCTTGCCACAGAGAAAGTTGGTCCGTCACATTAAATAGGGTGAATAGGATCCCACAGATTCCACCTCTGCATTTCTTACTTTCTCTTTGCTGCCAGAAGTCTCCTCAGCAACAGGTAGCAAAAACACAGAAGCACTACCACAGCAGGGCTCCCATGATAACCTCCTGGTCCTAGGAGAGCAGGAGGCTGCTCTTGGCAGAGAGACAAACCTGACTCATCTTTCCTCCATAAAAGCATCAGGTACCTTGTAAGCCCTAACCTGTACCGTAGGAATCATGGCATACCATACACCCGGCTTCTATAATAATATGTCACCATGTCCCTCGATTGCACAATGGTTCACCTTCAAAAGGGGACCTCTAAATAGACAGGTACTTAAACCATCTACAAAATACAAAACTTATCTTAAGCTATTGTCAGTTGCTTAATACAGGGCACATCCTTCATTATATCATAAGACATATTTTGTCCAGCATTTTATTGTGAATAAGCTGTTCTAGCAATTATGATTATCCCATATATAGAGCTCAAATAAGACAAGCTTTCAAATAATTAACAACATTGTTAAAATGTTAAACAAAGATTAAAAAAATAAAGATTAACAACTTAGTTTCTAAAAAAATGAATTCTAGTTTATATTTTTTAAATGATGGAAAATAATTTGAAGACTTCAATAAAATGGGCTATTGAATAATTGGACTTGGTTTGCAGATTATATATAGATAAGTCTTATGGATATTAAAGCAAAAATCATGAAAATATATTTTAAATTACCAAGAGAAAGAAAAAAGGACAGTACCTTTCTCCTGCCATGTAGAACCAGGAGAAATAGACAAGAACAAAAATTGTGTTTCTGAAAAAACTTGAACCTTTTAATACTGACTTCACAACAACAAATGAAAATCCATCATCCTTTTAAAAGCCTTCGTTGATCTGGTATTTATCTTATTGAAGTGAGCTTTTTAAAACTTCCCCTTAAGCTTCTCTCACATAAAAATTGCTCTTACCTTCAGAGCCGATATAAATTACTTCGAACGCTGCTACTATAATAAAAAAAAAACTAAAATTATTTCAAACGCTGCTAATATAAACACTAAAATAATGAGAAATCTTTGCTATAATCACCAAAGTTGGCACTGAAGTTTCTAGTTTGTTAATCTCGTTTTGAGGTTTGCATTTCAAAGAAGTAACGAAAACAATTATTTTCTTCTAAAAACTAAATGATAGTTTCAGCTTTAGTCGATAAAAAGTTAAAAATGATTCTGAAACCCATCTGAATTTCACTAACAAAATGCACATTCGTTTGAAAAGAAAATAAACTGCCCGGAGAAATAAGGCTAAGCCTCCCGTCAATCATCTGTTTATGTGCTCGGAAGGGGTGCGGCGCATCCTTGCCAGCTTACAGGTAGTGTCAGCTCTGCGGGTTCTGCACGCTCACCTTTGCAAATGGGAAACAGAACACATGTTTTTTGCTCCTAAAGAATATGACCTAACCCTGAAACCGAAACCCATCCGGCGACTCAGCTACCGTAGACAGAAGAGAAATAACAGTAGCCATTCGGTACAGCGGCTCTGCCTTTCCACATTTTCAGGATCTGGCAGCAAACCCACACTGTCAAAACTGGCAAAAGACTGACCTTGCAAGGGCAACAGCTGCCTTTCCAGCTCCCCTTTGTCCAGTCGCTGGCACCTCCTCGCCTAACTTCTCCCCGCTCTACTTCCAGGTGGCGTTAATGCCAGGTGGCCCAAACCCCAGAGACGCGAAAACGGACACAGGTGGGTGTGGCGCTTGAGCAGAGGACTGGCGAGAGATTGACTGGCGGCCTCCGTCCCCGCCACACCAGAGGAGCAAGAGAAAAGGCACTTACCTGCCGCCGTGCCCGCCGATCATGCCCACCCAGTGCGCCCGCAGAGTCTGGCCCCGGGGAGGGCGCGGGCTTCAGGGACCCTTCCTCTCCCCCGGCGTCCCCTCCACTGCTGCCGCGCCCTCTTTCTCTGAGCTCCTGTTGCTCGGCTGGCGCCTGCCACTACCCGCCGCTGGTACCCAAGCTAGCCCAGCCCCAATTCCGGAGCCCGCGGAATTGGAAACCAGACACTCGCCTGGCGAACGCCGGCGAGGGCCAGCCGGGCGACTGCGCCCCTCTTTCCGGGGCGCGCCCAGAAAGGCGGCGGCCCCGCCCCGGCGCTCCGGCCCCTCCTCGCTCCCCGCCCCTGCCCCACCCTCGCTCGGCGCAGCCCTCCGCTCCTGCTGGGGGCGCTGGGCGGGGACCCGGGCGGGGGCCCAGCCCCGACCTCCGTGTTGGAGATGCCACTTGCTCTCCATTGTCCTCCAGGAGAGAGCCGAGGAGGGGGTCGCTCGACTGCGCACCCTCACCTACCCCATTGGTTGGGGCGTGAATGTGTGTGAGTGTGTGCGTGTGCGTGTGTGTGTGTGTCCCTCCAGCTGCCAGGAGAGTCCTTCCCTTATTTCACACCGCCCCATCACCCTTTCCACTCTTCCTGCTTTGCTGAATCGGCTAACGTTTCCGAGAAGACACTTGACGCAGAGCGAGAGAAAGAACTACGGGCAGAGGAGGTGGAGACCGATGGCAGTGACCCCGCCAGTCCCTCCTGGGCCTCGAGCTCCGAGGATTCAATACTGGGAAGCCGTTCCCTCCCTGGGAGTTGGCCCACGGAGTCTGTTGGGGGGGATGGTGGCGCGCAAGACCTGTCTCTAGGCTGCGATTTTTCCTTTCTCTTTTATGATAGATCGATCGGGCTACCGAGACTTCCAGGCAAGCAAAGAATGCATTTCCTTTCAAAGGTGGAGTGAGGAGCCCAGGTCGCCCTGGGGGGGGAGGGAGACTTAGCGCACAGGGTGCCTTCCCTGACCTGGGACCCGCTCATCTGGATAGGCCATCAGTCATATAGGTTCTGACTTTCGGAGCTGGGTAGGAGCAATTGTGAAAAGAAATCTCTATAAATCATTGTGTACGATTGCATGTGTGCGCGCGCGCGTTTTCTACAACAGCCTGTTGGGAGGAAGAAGGATGCAAACAGAATCGAATTATCTTTCTCAAAGAGAAACGGGAAATTTCCACCAAGGAGGAAACTGGAAGGATTTTTGACGTTGTGGCAAAGTGGATCCCGGCCTTAAAAAAGAGATAGATCGCCTTGCTATGTAAATATGAATGATGGCATTTGCAGCTTTAGTGTAATTTACTTCCGTACCTTCTAATATGGAGATGATAACCTAGTGGTAAACACACAGAATTTCAAGCCCCAGGATTTACTTTTCTGGGCGGCTTACTGAGCTTCAGAGATTTGCCCTTTGGACCTTAGCTGTCAAGTTTGTGACGCTTTCAGTTGAAGAGTACACTCGGCCACTTGGGGCTAATACTCAATGCCACTTCGTGACCAAGTCACTTTCTCTTCATTATTTGCAGATAGAGGAAAAAGAATTAACTGTAGTAGGAGTGATAGCCTTTTTGACTAGATGCAGTAAAGTCACTGTCTTTTCTTACTACCTTGAAGTCCCCCTTCAACTAAATTGTCTGATGCACAGTCACTGAGATGTAAAATTAGCTCAACCAACCATTTCTCTATAGTTCCCTGACACCTAATCTGGGTTTCATTAGGGAATAATCCATATGATATTCAGAATAATTAGAACCCAGAGACTTTCAAACTCATGTTACTTTTTCCTCAAGAAAATGTAAATTAGAACATAAAGACTCTAGCTGATTAAGACAAAGAAATAATGATCAATGCCTATGAGATGATTAAATTTATTAATATGATTAAGAGGAATTTTGATCATATTCCTTAGTACTCAAAGCCTTAAAGAAGCAATCAAGAACAAACCAAAGTACCATGCTATAAAATATAAAGTGAGTTTATTGGATTTGTATTTCCTAGAGATGATATAAAATCAAGACAAAAAGAGTCAAGATGAACTGATAAATGATGGCACCATATAGGAAATTAGAGTCAATTTTGGTGGTTAATGTCATATAACACTGTCCAGAAAACCTCTCTTGGGATAGTGATGAGGTACTAGGCTAGGTGATTCATTGGTTTGGTGAAGTATAGCTGTTTTTCTTCATGGCAAAAAAACAGTTCTCCTCACTTGTGTGGTAGGAAAGGGATTTAGTATCCCCCTCCCCTTGCCACTAAGAAAATAATATATACCATGCTTTGACAATGAGTGCATACCACACTTTGCCACTGTAGGAGTCCCTTCACTATACCTAGGTTCTCGTTGGGAGTCTTAAAAAATAAAACCTCCTTGGTGTGTATGAGGGGTCCCTGGTGAGAGTTTGCCTGTGAATTTATTTGCAAAGTATGGTGTGTATTATTCATTCTTTTTCTAATTCTGCTTCATCTCCCAACTATTTAGTTACCATACATCTATTTAGTTCACGTACCCTTTTCAGTCTCACAACCTTTTTGTAATCTCTTGCCTTTAGTCCTTGCTGTTTGTGTTTTTATTGTTCTTCTGGCAGTGCTGGGATTATTATATTTTTGTCTCTGCCTAAATTCAGAAAATGATCATCTGAGTCCCTATTCAATATTACCTTAAATGCCCCTAAGAATTCACCAAATATTCAGTGATGGTGTTATATGTAGATATAACTAGATAATGTCATTGAAAAGGTTAAAAGGTAGGCTTGAATTGTAGGAGGCAGAGAAGAACCTGGCTGTACCAGCCAACAACCAATTAATTCTTAAACTATTCACAATTGATCTTCTATAATTTAGGTAGAAAAAAGTAGAGATGTTTGTATTTTGCAATTACTAACATTAGTCCTCAAAACCAAAGCAGAAAAGAATTGTTTTACTTTGGGCTGCCCGGGTGGTTCAGCGATAAAGGATCTGCTACAGGAGAAACGGGTTCAGTCCCTGGGTCGTGAAGATCCCCTGGAGGAAGGCATGGCAACCCACTCCAGTATTCTTGCCTGGGGAATCCCCATAGACAGAGGAGCCTGGCAGGCTACAGTCCATAGGGTTGCAAAGAGTCGGACATGACTGAAGCGAATTAGCACCCACACACAACATGGAAATCTACACATTTGACTTTTTCACAATTGCCACTCCAATTTTCAAAACTATAGAAGTTTCTGGAGAAGACATAGGCAGCAATGTGAGACAATAAACTAAGCAATGTAGTACTGGCAGACTTTGCTTTTTCTCATTAAATAGGATTAGAAATATATTTCTTTTCTAGTATGTGCTAATGACAGTACTCTAATTTGAGATAAGGCCATTACAATGTTGTAAAAATGGGAGAATACAGCTACAAGTTTTTCTGTATACATAGCTAAAAAGTAGGGTTCAAAAGTAGTTTCAAAGTAAAATTATAAAGGTCTAGAAACATGATGCAATATGCAAGGGCTTCCCAGGTGGCTCAGTGATAAAAAATCCATTTGTCAAGCAGGAGTGCGTGCATGCATGCTTATTCACTTCAGTGGTGTCTGACTCTTTGCGACGCCATGGACTGTAGCCTACCAGGCTCTCTCTGTCCTTGGGATTCTCCAGGTAAGAATACTGGAGTGGATTGCCATGCCCTTGGCCAGGGGATCTTTCTGGCCCAGGGATCCAACCAGCGTTTTCCTGCATTGCAAGCAGATCCTTTACCACTGGGGAAACCTGCCAAGCAGGAGATACAGGTTCAATTCCTGGATAAGGAATATGCCCTGGGGGAGGAAATGGTAACCCACTCCAGGATTCTTGCCTGGAAAATCCTATAGACAAAGGAGCCTGGCAGGCTACAGTCCATGAGGTGGCAAAGAGACACAATTTAGCAACTGAGTGCAGACATACACAATATACAAAGAAGAGCTTAGACATAATCTGGAGTAATAAGCATTATTTATGTCTATGCATATAAAATTACGCATAATGAAACAGCAGGAGAAAAGCAGTTTCCTAAAAATGTGTCAGCTTCAGAATGTTTGCTGATCTAATTTTATATAGTCTTGGCCTTCGTGCCAGGACTAGAAATAATTTGCATTCCTGCAGGGAACATGTAAAGACCTTGTTACATATGAGATACTGGTAGAATTCTTAGAAGAGTATTAATTGTCTTATTAGTGGGGCTAAATTAGTTTTAAAGTTGCTCCAGATTTACACCAACAAAGCTTAAAAGCAAGATTTGAAAGAATACAACTGGTTTCAACTTGCTAAAATGCTAGACAGAATAAAATTAAACACTTTCTGAAGGACCTAACAACGTAAAATTATCACTGACTGGCATTCATTAAAAAAAATTACCACACTTGCAAAGAAGAAGGAAAATACGAACCGTAACTAGCAGAAAAGCAAATTAACAGGAACAGACTCAAAAATTATATAGATGATGGAATTAACAGGTTAGTACATTATATTCCACATTTATGTGTGCTTTGCATGCCCTAGATAGTAGAAAAAAATCTGAGCATACACAAAATACAAACTGTTCTCTCCTTAAGCATTCATATTAGATAAATGTTATATCTACTGCCACCTGGTGTTCAAAATAAGTCAAATGTTACAGAAACGTAATCTTTTATTATACTGTTTTCTTTTTCTTCTTCTATTTTTGTTTTTTAAGTAGTTTTTTAAGAGAAGCTTTAAGTTACAACAAAACTGAAAGGGAGATACAGATCTTTCTCATATACACCCTACCTCCTTACATGTCCAGCATGTTTGTTCTATCTAAGCAAAGGAGAAAAGAAGCATAGAACAAACTTTTTTCCATGAGATCTTTCCTTCTTTTTTCTTTTTCCTTTTTTCTCCTTACTTCCTTTATTTCTTTTGTGGGTGAGAGTATTTATAGCAAATTCTCTCAAATTTATTTATTTCCATTACTATTCCCATTCTCTTAGCTTGAGTGGTGTGAACTTTTATCTGGGTTATATAAACAGTATACACGTTGCTTTTTCAGCTTCAGCACTACCAATTCTAATTCTCTAGAGTCCCTATTTACCAAGTGGCCTTCAGGATGAAGGTCAAATTTCTTAACTCAGGTTTTACCTCCAACAGGAACACTTGCGCTCTTGTGCTTTCCTCTAAAGAAGCAGTCTGCCCCAATACCTATGCTAGACTCACTCCTGTCATCGTCCAGGTCTGAGATGTCACATTCTCTAAGGCCTGCTTGCAGTGCTAAGTATGGATTAAATTCCCCTCCTCCCTACTTCCATTATACCCTGAACTTTATCAAAACATTTATCACATTTTATTGTAACTGTTTGTTTGGGTGCCAGCGAAACCTTCCCAATGAAGTGATGCTTTAGCTGGACTTGGGAGGCTGTTCATGAATTAGTCAGGTGGATGGAGTTGAGGATAAAGGCCTTCCAGGAAGAAGGCCTGCTGCTGCTGCTAAGTCGCTTCAATAGTATCCGACTTTGTGCAACCCCAAAGACCACAGTCCGCCAGGTTCCTCTGTACCTGGGATTCTCCAGGCAAGAATACTGGAGTGGGTTGCCATTTCCTTCTCCAATGCATGCATGCATGCTTGCTAAGTCACTTCAGTCATGTCCGACTCTCTGCAACCCCATGGACAGCAGCCCACCAGGCTCCTCTGTCCACAGGATTCTCTAGGCAAGAACACTGGAGTGGGTTGCTATTTCCTTCATGCTTGTCACTTTAGGGATCCACATTTGGCAACAAAACACAGAGAAGAGAACCAAACAAATATCCAGTGTACCCCATCCAGTGTATCACAGGGTATCTACATAGTGGATGTTGTGGCACGTTT